CTCCTCCTCCTCCTCCTCCTCCTCCTCCTCCTCCTCCTCCTCCTCCTCCTCCTCCTCCCTCTCGCTGCCCCTGACCCTGGCGGTCTGCAGGCCAACAAAACTCGGGCCTCTCCGGTGGCCGCTCGGGACACACTGGGCGAGGCGCAGGCTGCTGGAGGGCATCCCGAGGCTTCTGTTGCTCCCCTCGCACTGAAGGACCATATCCCAGACGTAATTTCGAGCACCCCGAGCAGCACAGTCAACCAGTATAGTAAGGATGCGCGATAAGGATGCAAGGGCCTTGGACGCCCATTCCGAAGCTTTTCGAGCGGGACGCGGCCAGCGAAAGCGGCGAAGGATGGACCGAGGAGGCGCGGATGCAAGGGTATCCTTGGGAAGGTTGCCCATCCTTACTATGCGGGTTGACTGTATCGAAGCAATGTCGAACGAGTATCGGTTCCCAGGGCCCGACACGTGAAAACCCCCCTGTTTCGGCACTCTCTGGATGCTCGGAATTCTTTCTGGCAGTCAAGGCTAAAGTTAGGTCGGAGAACCAGAACCCCGAGGCTGGAAGACGGACAGGAACCAACGAAGACACGCGAAGACCTCATCCATCGATCGACCCCTGCACCCCCCTCAACGTTGCCCCTGACTGCCCCCCTGGCGGCTCCCCTTAGGGGTGCTGAAACCAGCGCCCCGCCTGGGACATCCCCACAATCTGCTCTGAAAGCCAAGGATGTTGGGCATGAAAACGAGCAAACCGCCTGAGACATCCCCACAAACTGCCCGCGAACGGGCCCGTGAGAACACCCTTGGCGGCTCCCCTTAGGGGTGCTGGAACCAGCGCCCCGCCTGAGACATCCTCGCATCCTCCCCCAGTGTCCCCCCATCCCTCCCTTCGGCGACGCCCTCCTCCTCGCCAGAGGAGTGGGGGCACCTCGGCGGGGCCAGCGGGGGCAGGGAGCGGGCCCTCTGCGCTGGGCCGCGCGTTTTTTGGGGGGACGCCCAGGGCCGACCTCTCCTCGACCAGGGCGGCGAGCTCCTGCGGGAGGCGGGAGGAGAGAAGCCCTGAGAGCCTCGCGCCCTGGTTTTCTCGAGCCGGGCGTTTGCGCCCGGCTTCGGGCCCGAAGATCCTCAGAGATCGATCCAGCTCGAGAAATGGCGCAGAAAGATGGGCTCCGGGGCTCCGCTGGTGATTCTTCGCGACGCTGTACTTGCTGGTTGTTAGGTCGGATCTCAGGAAGGAGGGAAGGGTTGGCGGAGACCACAAGGCAAGGGAGGGGTGCGAGGGAGCGTGCTTCCAAAAAGGCGGCGGGGCTTCTCATTATGAGGGCGGCGCGCGGCTTCTGAAGGGCTCGCCCGGCCTCAAAGAGGCCCTCTTCGCCTCAGAAGCCTCCCGGGCATTCTCAGAAGGCCCTTGCCTTAAGTCGGGCCTGTCCCCCTACAGAAGATTTTCGACGAAAAATAAAAAACATACAATTTTCTTTCACAAACAAAACAATCCAAAAATAGTCTGGGGACTATCTTTTGAGTATTTTTTGTATTTGTTTGAATATGTTTGGTGCATTTTCAATTTTTCGTCGAAAATCCCCCTGTGGGGGGGCAGGCCCGGCCTAACCCTTGCCTCCTGAGAGGGCCCACGCCCGCCAGCATAGAATGACGCCCCCAGTCGCGTCATCTCCCTTGTGGGCGCCGCAACAAGGTGGGGGGGGGAGGCCCAGACCTCCTATCGCCGTGGGAAAGCCAAGGCTCGAGGTTTTCGAAGGTGCCCAGGGACACACACACACACGACACGAACAATAACCATAACAATACCAAAAACAATAGCAATAACGATAACAACAACAATAACAATTTAAACATCAATAACAACAGCAACAACACCACCACCACCACCACCACCAACAACAACAACAACAATAACAACAACAACAACAACAACAACAACAACAACGACGACGACGACGACAACAACACCACCACCACCACCAACAACAACGCCAACAACCGCAACACCAACAACAACAACAACAACAACAACAACAACAACAACAACAACAACAACAGCAACAACAACAACAACATACACACACATCCGAGGATTATTTTCCCATATTAATTGGGTGTTTGTTTCCCCCCCACTCCTCATATTTACCTATATTCTCCTGGGAATCGACGGTTGATTGTGTCTGTGTGTTCTTTCTCCTCCTGAGTTTTCTGCCACACTCGGCCTTCGGGTGGGCCCTGGCGCTGTCAACACACGGCGACTCGGCATGAAAAGAAGGTCCCGGGGAAGCGGCCTAGATCTCAAGGGGTCCACGCTGCGAAAGAAACACGACGCCGGAGGTCTGGGGAGGGGGGGACAGTGGAGCAGGGCGATGAGGGGAGACGAGGACGAGTAGGGAAGGGGGAGTGATGTCGGCCCATATCCGCGCCTGCATCTCAACATGCGTGGATGTATGCACAAACTGGCATGTGACCAACCACACCATTGAAGTATCGCCCGTAACACGCTGAAGTGAAACTTCGAATTCGCCGGCCCAGCGGGCCAAAGGCGTGCTGGCATCCACGTTCGTATGTTGCCGATGATTCCACAAACCCTCCTGTGATAGGTGACTTGACGAGTTCGTTGTCTCAACACTCTTCCCTTCTCTCGAGGAAGCCACTCCCCCTACCCCCCCTACCCCCTCACCTCGGTCTGCAAGGGAGGGAGTCGCGCGGGCATTTCGAGCCTGCCAGATGGCCCAATATGGCGCATCCGAGATGGCACACTTGACTGCTGAAGGTAGCTGCCGACATGTGTTCTATATGGACCAATTGCATCCCCAAGACAGCTCCGAGTGGCCTCCGACCCTCCCATGCATGTTCCCGAAAACTCCAAATCTTGAACCAGTGGATGAATCTCAATGATGTTTGTCACTCTGGCGTTTTCTTGTCTGATTGGCATTTGAGGCCTCAAGATGCCTCGAATATCGCCCAAGCAAGTGAAGGCTGCCAGGCGGCCCTAAGAGCGCCTCAAGATGTGACTATTCGGGGCCGTACTTGAATCCGCCTCCTTTGTTGATCGGTGGCCGCCAGAACGACACCTAAGGCCCCCGAGCGGGCCCCAAGAGCGCTTTGAGGTTCCCAAGGGGCTTCGGAAATTGATCAAAGGGCCCCAGGAC